AAACATCAAGAAAGCACACAGTCAAGAGAGATGGATTTACAGTGCATACTGAAAAGAAAGCTTTAAAACAGTGTGCAGTGGAGCATGCAAATCTACAAAATAATTCAATATTCTAACAAGTATTTTTGGAGGCATGTGGGCTCCCTGACTCAGCTGCCCAGAGAAAAGCTGTTTTACACATGAATTTTAGTAGTGGGACTGGGTGGCAAGCCACCCCTCCTTAATCCATCCTTAATTCATCCAAAATAGACATTAAATTTCTGTTGTTCTTGTTCTTGTTCTTGTTCTTGTTCTTTGTTTTTCTGTACCTTGATCTTCCCACCCCAGACAAACTTGTTACTTTATGGGTAAATTGCATCAACAAAAGGCAGTTCACACATTAACCTGTACTCAGCCATAACAGCTGACATTATGGATTACAGCCCTTAAATGCAAACCTGTAATAGTAGGGATGGTACACGCAATAACGTAAAATCTAACCTCGTTCCTGTCTTTAAGCTCCTCATTTTCCATAACAAAATGTTCCCTAATAACTTGACCCATGCCAGGCTCACTTCTAACTTCAGCTCCTCCCTCCTGCACAAGGCGATCAAATCTACATTGGAGTTCATTTCTTTCCAAAAGTAGCTTTTCTATTTGATCCTTAAGATCCTGCAAAAGACCAAATAATAGACTCCTGTGTATGATCAGTTGCCACATAACATTACAGCATTCTTGGCATCACCAATCAAATCAACATGAACTGGCTACTAAATGTACATTGCGATCATGTGGGAGCCACTTTGTGTTCAGAGCAATTTTTGTTACCTTAACCTCTTGTTCCTCTTTCTCATTACAGGAATCACTAGATAACTCCACAGCCTTCATGAGCTCCTCCTTTTCTACCATGAGCTTTGCTAATTTGGCTTGAAGCTATAAAATAAAATTGAAGAATATAATTAATACAACCCGATGTGTTGAAAAATATTAACATAGTAAATGGTTTGAACCCAGGAGTATCAGTAGTTTAGATACATGTAGTGTGATCATCGCAGTGCAGGACTGGTACATGCAGTTCTGAAAAGAGCTGCTGTTGGTGATTGACATTTCGGCAACCTGAGTGGAAGTCATCTTCAGATTGTCACTTGATGATGTGTGTTATAAGTCTGGTCCACTGAAAGTGATTGGTCAGTTTAGCCATTACAGGTATGTTATTGGCTGACAGGCTCGTGTAAAGTTTGTCAACAACCATTGGTCCATTCAGTAGTATGTTTTGATCCATATTACAGTAAGTCAGTTTGTTTGATATCTGTTTGTCATAATTTGTCATCTGTAAGCTGCCGGTAGTAGTGACTACATTGTAAGTCTTTCAGCCATTAACATCACAGCTAAACTGACCAGTCACTTTCAACAGACCAGACTTATAACAGCATTGACTGACTAACACTATTCACTTGACTCTAAAGATGACTTCCACTCAGGTTGTTGAAACATCAGTCACCAACAACACTTCTTTTCAGAAGTACTGTAGAAATACCCTCATCTGGACTATCACACTGAAAAATATTAACTTCACTACTGCCACAAAATACAGTAGTAGGTGTCTTGCAAGAACTCATGAACATGAGGTTGCATACAAGTTAGAGGGGATAAGGTTAAAATTAAATTCAGTTCTGTCTACAGTCTGCTGGCTCCGCTACCTATTAGGGAGTTTAAGAAAACCGTTACAGCAACGGCAACAGCAATCTTGCTAAACAAAAGGTTTACTGAGGAGAACAATGGCTGTGCACATGCATTATGATTTTTGGTACATTTCTTTGCTGTCCTATGCAAAACAACAACATGAAATGACCAAATTCTGCATTGTCTGGAGAACATGAACCACGACAGCTAATTTTTTAAGTGTTTATTTCATATTTAACAATAGGTCCTAGATTCAGTTTTGCAATAGCTTTGACAGTGATAAAATAAAGTAAATGACTTTAGGGTACCACGAGATTCGTAGGTAACATATAAAATCATATTTTAATTGATGTCGTCCTTGGCGTTGCTGTCGTGGTTTCTTAAGCTCCCTATTCTTCTAGTTAACGTGCAACCCATCAGTCCCATGTGGGCTGGGAAGAGAGTAGTCTGTCTGCATGATTTTTTTCTTAGTACTAACTATTGGTGAACTTGGTTACATATAAAGGCCTGCAAAATCATGTGATGTCCATCCATAGCATGGCCACAGCCATTTTTACTTGCATGAGGCAGTTACAATTTATATTTTTGCTCAGAAAAATAGAAGATGAAATTCTGCTGAAGAAATTGGTGCGAAGGATGTCACAAATCAAGCAGTGGGTTAAAAAAGTGCTTTCCTTACAGAGCTGTTAATAATTACTGAAATGCATCAATCTGATGACAACTACTTTACCAGATACGTGAACAAGAACCAGTATGTGCACTACTGTAAGAAATTTCCAAGATAAATGAATGACTTAATATTATAATTAATACTCTCACCTCCTCTGTCAATGCCAAGGATTCAGAGTTCTCAATTGTTGCAGACCGCTGATCATTGTTCAGTGATTCAATGTTACCTTCCAGTTCCTGCAAAAACAAAATGCAGTTCTCAGAACTAGTTCAAAGAAAGATACTTACATCATACATGTCCTACCCAGCAAATAAAGTGCTGTCTTTTGCCAGAAAATTGCCAGTTATATTGAATTGACTAATAACAGCATAATTTGATCAACACACCACCAACAAGTGGAAATTTCACGACAAAGCATTTTAGGCCCCAGCTGCACGTACAACTAAGAACTTCTGTACTAACACTGAATGGCTAAACAGCAGCCCAAATGTTCTTGCATGTGCAAAGAAGTTGCCAGAGAAAATCATGTCAGTGCCACAGGCTGATTCCCATGGGTGCTCTGATGACTTCAGAAGCGTAGTCAAATGATTAAAAACCTTGCAACAATTTGCATACAATTAATCCTTTTGATCTCATTTAAACTGAATGCAAATCATTGGATGATCAGTTACACCAAAGATCTATCTCCAGCAGTAATTCCATTGGGCCATGCTATTTAATGTCTTGAACAGGTTGTAGGTTTTGTGAAAAATCCAAACCACTGCATAAAAAATCTTACCTTGCACTTGTCTAGAAGTTGGTAATTCTCTTGTTCAAATTTAGTTAATGTCTCCAGGGTCTGCTCTTTCTCCAGTTGGAGGGCCTAATATGATCACAACAAACCATAGAGTGACATTTAATCTCTAGCAAAGAATCCAGAGATTGTCCTATAAACCTTGTAAGCTCAGTGGTGAGAGCAACCCCCCCCCCCCCCTCCCTACCAAGTACATGGGAGATCAATGGTTCAAATCCCATTGGGACTCAGAATTTTTCCTTATAAGTCCCAAGTTTACATCAAGCTGAATGTTTCATCTTTTGCAATGTCCTTGTTGTTGTTGGATTTAGTTTTGGGAAACATCAATATCACTCACTTGTATTTTCTGAAGCAATTCTCGATTGTCTTTCTGTAGCTGTTCTTGTACTCTGTCTTCTTGGAGAGCTTGTGTTTCCAAAGCATTTTTGTATTCCTTAAGTACACAACCAATTGATTTAGATACATGAATGTTATAAATAGAACCATAAAAATACTAACCTCTTCCCAACTGAACACCAGGGCCGTACTCAGGAATATTCACCCAAGGTCCGCCCAAAAAAATGACTAAGGGTTAATATTCCCTAGTACAGCTAAAGCAAGCTACACGTAGGTTGGTAACTAATGACAGTCAAAAGTTTATAACATAAGGCGCAAGGGCCATGCTTGATTTTAAAATACATGGTTTATGATCATTTCCATGGAAACCGTCCATGTGGCAAAATCCCAACTAAGAAAGAACCATCTGGACTGGGATGTTTGAAGGCCAGTTAACGCTAACCCAAGATTAAAAGTTAAACAAAGTATTCACGTATCTTGTATAATTATGTTTTTTCACTGCCAATGTTTTGTGTTGTTTGAGATTACTCGTGCTCAAAACTAAAGGACAAACAAGTATATTATATTAAATAGAAAACCTTATCGAAGGGTTACAAAAAAAACTGAAGTCAAAATTCCTGCTTATCCTGGGTTAACCTAAGTTGAGCTTTGAACAACCCGGGCCAGAATGCTTGGAATTAGCTCCAAACTACCTTGCCATATAGCATTTAAAGCACAATTAATTTCCAAACTTGCTTCACTTACATTAAGATTTTTTTCTAAAATAATAGTGTGAGCTCTTTAATGAACATAGTTTTATTTGGAATTCTTGTGAATAGGAGAACATCCATTATCTTATAAGAATATTTAAAATAATATGGATGTTCTGATGCCCAGCCAGTCCCATACAACTGTGCCTCAAGTGTCTAATGCATTTTATATATTGAGCAGTCATGTCAGGTGCAGTTGATTTAGATCATGTTTATCTATAGTACAGAACTCCATAATAGTTGCTTTCTGCAACTCACTATGAATTTCACGCCTCCAATTCTCAATTTTTTGCAGGGAGTATAGACCCTTTTCATAAATAGCTACCAATTTAAGATTCTTTTGTCTGCATTTAAATTAGCCCCACTAAACTCGTTTGGGAGTAAAAATTCTTTTGAATTATCAACTGAAGAACGAGGTTAGTCAGGCTAATTTTAATACTTACAAAAGAATTTATAATTGGCAGCCAATTACGAAAAGGGTCTATGAGATGCAAGATTCACAGTGAGTTACTGAACGCAAAAGTTACGAGCTACTGTACAACAGAATACCTTTGCCTCCTTAGCAACGCTTTGATATTCTTCCTGCAAAACTTTAAGAGACTTTTGAAGTCCATCTCTCTCCATGACAACAGTTGATAATTCCTCTTCAAGTTCCTAGAAAATGAGTTTGAACACAAACATACAAGAATTAATACTTACTGTTACCACGTGCCTTTCACAAATAAGGGATTCTATACTCACTTCCTATATTATGTACCACAAATGTGACAACAATATTCCAGTTTACTGAACAAATAAAGAAGCCTAAGCCACGTGTTACACTGTGATAAAACATGACGGGCATTTAAGAACACGAGGGAAATGTAGAAAACATGAGCCACAGGTGAGTATTTTCTACATTTCTTGAGTGTTCTCAAATGTCCGGAGTGTTTTATCAGAGTGCAATACACGGCTTAGGCTTCTTCATTTGCTTTATGATAGAGGTACATGTGATGTGGCGAAAAACAATAAAACACACTTTTTCTATGTATTATACTCTAATAAAACATAGGTTTTTGACCAACCAGAGTGTGCGCAGGGTCCTATCTATATTATAATATCATATAATGACACAATCATTATAAATATCATATTTCCCCAAACATTTGCCAAAAACAGTTTAGAAACTTTTACCTCATGTTTCTCCTTAATAATATCAGACCTGTCATTTTAAATTTTTCAAGGGCATTTCAATGTTTATAGCCACGATTTTAAGTTTAGAATTCCTGAGTTACTTGAAAAAATAACCGGTCATTCAAACAAGCTTTTAACTATTATGAAAACTTGTAATTATATTTAACACCATTTGTATCATTTAATCCTGCTGTCACAATGTGCTGCAAGTTGTTATAGTGATCGAGATGTTTTATATTGATTGTTCAGCCATTGGAGTAGTTCAATGAGCCCGCGTAGTGTACAGCGGTTGCATGTATTACCATGTGCTCTTATCAATACAATCTTGTTGTTGGACCCGCCATCTTGTGTGTGTATGTTCACTCTTCTAACTCACTAATGGAGACAATAATTATTAGCCTACAAGAACCATTGCATCCACTTCACATCCAAAGCTGAAAGGCATGGTATTATTTGCAGGGTATTGAACGAAACGGGGTCAGTGTTTTAATTTAGCTTTGATCCGCAAAACTTTTGTTTAATCATCGTTAGTTAATTTTCTGACATTAATAATCTATTGAATGTCAAATTACTGCCTGTAATAATGATTAATTGGATCCTCATGGTTAATCAATAACATGGTCCTATTATTAAAGACTGGATCATTGGATAATGCAATTCAAGAGTTTTTACTGGCTTAGCCATCATGGTCATGAGCCATTATACCATGCTCTACAAATGCAGCTGTACATATATGGTTAAGCATACATGTAATTTTTGGGCGCATCTTCATTGTCTATATTATTTTAGTTTTCTATATTTTGGGAGTGTTTTTAATAAAACAATTATTCCACTCACACTTTTTGGATATAAGATGATTACAGCCAACTTGGCACTGTGCACCTTGTTGGCTAACTACCATCTCATTTTCAACTAACGTGCATGGAATAATTCTGATTAAGTGTTCTTTAATTTAAAACTTACAATGCATAGTTATTTAAATAAATTAAATAAGGGTACTTAAATTTTGAATTTAAATTTAAGCCAGTTTTCTTACTTTAACTGTCTTTTCATGCTCATGCTCCAGCTCATTGTACATTCCCCGCAAACCATCATTTTCCTCAAGCATCTTTCTTCCAAGTTCAGCAGCCATTTTTAACTCTCTATTTTTCTTTAAAATCTGATTAACGAAAGGGTGGCAATAATAACATTTACATCCTACATGTTTAGATCTTTTTTTAGTTTTATGATTCACTAGTTCAACAACGCTTAAAAAATGGAAGGATTTTAGATATATAATTTTAGAAAACACAAATGTTTGGCAAAGGTGTCCTCAACCAGTTACAAATTATTTTTTAAAGTATACCATGTGTTTAAATATAATAATTGCCCATCTGTTTATGCACTACAGCCATTACTTAATGCAATACACCAGTCAACTCAAAGATAAAGTTCCATTTTTGCAACAAGTTAATACAACAATATTAACTCTAGTTAATAGATAAGCAAACGAAAGCTTNCTAAAGATGACTTCCGTTCAGGTTGTCGAAACGTCAGTCACCAACAACAGTTCTTTTCAGAACTACACTCACCCGGACGATCACACTATACGAACAACCCAATGTATTCTTTGCAAGTTACAGGGTACAATTTCAGCTATCCAGTAACGGTCCCAAATGCATCTGTTTTCTGTGTTCTCGTAACTTAAAGATAAAAGAATAATGCCACTTTACCTTTCCTTGTGATTTCACAGGGGTTGTGCTTGATGAGGATTCCTTTTTTAAACCATTTGTTACACCAAGAGGGTCAGGACCATTCTGTCACAAGAATTGAGAAAAAACATTATTGCTACCAAAGCCAATGACACTTGTTAACTAGGCAGAAGCAATACAAGAACGGTAAGAATTAAAAAACAAATTGAAAAAGATTAAAATTGACCAATCAGGGGATACAATAGAGTCTGGTATACCGGAAAGAGCTTTTTTTTACAAATGATCCTTGAAGAAGTTATTTCACTCCTTGTTCCTCACTTTGGATGCCTGGAACAGGATTTTTCCACCAGGCATAATACACCTACATGCACAATGTACACAGTACAGTACATGTGTTCTTGATGAGAAAATCTCTTCAAGTCTGTATAATTTTTTTTCTCATTGAATCACTGCATCACTGAGTATGAAAAACTGATTTAAAGATTTGCATTTATGCTCAGCCTCCTGGTAATACCCCACCCCGCCCCCCTCTCTCTCCCACCCTCAGAAGCTCAGAGTTACATAAAAATGTTACCAATAATACGCACCATTGAATATGAGCCTATGGATTTCTGTTTCAAACTTCTTTTGATTATATACATTTTCAGGGTGCAAAAAAAAATTTTTCAAGCCAGCCATTTGGGCAAGCCAAAAGTAATTCTCGCACTAGCTCCTAAAACATTTCTTACTGAAGCATGATTAATTATTAATGAAAGTTACAATAATTTCATTTCTTAGTGCATTTTAATCTGTAATTTGAACTTCCTCATGTATTTTCCCCAAAAAAGTTCTCTTGCCCAGTGGGCAAGCAAAAGACAAAATCTGCCCATCAGACTGCAAAATTCACGAGCTCTAGTCTATCAGACATGACTTCCTTTGCTCGCTGCATCTTACATGTACTTAGAGTTTGATATGTATATTTATAGATACTGATCATCGGTTTA